AATCTTTTTTGATTTATTAATAAAACTGAAATCATCTTTGGCAAATAATAATTAGATAAGCTATATTCTAGTAATTTTATGTTATTAAAAGCATGATGTAAGAAAATTTTTTCTTCAGAGTTAAATTTAATTATTAATAAATAAAGTATTAGAATTGTAAAATAATCAACAAAAAAAAAAAAACATAAAAAATTTTTAGCAAATTTGATTAAATAGTTGAGATGAAATCAGAACAATTAATTTTTTTTAATTTTTAAATTAAAATATCTTAAACAACTAATTAATCAAATTTGCTCAAAATTTTTTTATTTTAATTTTGAAATTATAAAAAATTAAAATAAAAAAAATTTTTTAAATTTGATAAGATAATTGCTGAAATATTTAAGTTTAAAGTCAAAAAAACATTTACATAAAAAAAATTTATCTCTTTTCTATTGACTCCATCCCAGTTGTTGAGAATTTTAATTTAAAAATTTTACTAAAAATAATTTGTCCCTTAGATCTTTTTCTTAGCATCAAACCTATATATTTTTCTTTGTATTTTTAAAAGCAATCAAAATTTCCAATACTCCTCACGTGACAAACCGGCTTTGATTTGATTATCCAATCAACGTTAACGTATCGACATAAATTATTGAAGTATCATCGTATTCCTGCTTTGTCCTCTTGGTCCATTGACTACGAGAGTTTTAAAATAGCTGCATATCGATATCGATTATAAGCTTTTCCAACGTTCATTTTAGCTGAAAAATGCCGACCGTAAACGTAGATAAAAATGAACTTTACCAAGCTCTTGGAAAACATTATAGTAAGTGGAGGCGAAGGTCAATAGAAAAGTTTGTAAACTCTAATAATGTTTTCCTATAAAAATGGTTTCATATGATTACTTGTTTTAATTCATTCTTTTTATTCTTAGCCACGGATGAATTTCGTGAATTATGCTTTGAATTCGGAATTGAACTTGAAGAAGACGTATGAATGCTAATTTTTACATTGAATTGATATTTTGTATTGTAATAAATGAAATTAACCTTATTATATTATCTGCTTAAGCTAGACTTCCGAAAAAGAAATGGCTAGTAAAGAAGTTGGAATAGCCAAAGCCGAGGGATTATCGGAACGACCAATTTTAAAGATCGACATCCCTTCTAATAGGTGAACAAATCTAGCATGCAATAAATCGTTCGAACAAATGAATTATAAATTTATAAGAGATTGCATGCTTTATATGGATTATATTAAATGTTTTTAGATATGATCTTCTTTGTCATGAAGGCATTTCGCGTGCTTTACTAATTTTTCAAGAAAAAGCAAATTTTCCATCTTATAAAGTTGTTGAGCCAGCGGATGGACATGTACAAATATTGATAAAGCCTGAAGTGTGTACATTATGGAAGACAATTTTCTAAACTTTAATTTAAATGAGATTTTTGAATTAATATTATTTACTATTATTTATAATTTTTTATTTTTTTTTTACAGACTGCTCAGATAAGGCCTCATGTTGTCGGCACTATTCTTCGGAATATTAAATTCACAGAAAGAAGTTATAATAACTTTATCGATCTGCAAGATAAATTGCACAACAATATTTGCAGGTATAAATGCTCTAAAGTCAAATCAAAAGTAATATGGATTGGGATTTTAATTCATTTTAATATAGAAAACGAACCCTGGTCGCAATTGGAACTCATGATTTTGACACGATTAAAGGACCTTTTACCTATGAGGCTCTTCCACCAAAAGAGATAAAATTTATACCGTTAAACCAGACAAAAGAATTGGATGGGGAAGAATTGATGAATTTTTATACGGTAATTCTTATTTTATTTTTATTAAAGTATTTCAGAATAATATATACTTTATAATATAATATATTTATAAATTACAACTCATAGACCGATAAACATCTCGGAAAATTTCTTCACATAATCCGTGATTCACCTGTTTATCCTGTCATCTATGATGCAAACCGAAAAGTTTGTTCTTTACCACCAATAATTAATGGTGATCATTCAAAGATTACATTGAATACGAAAAATGTATTCATTGAATGTACAGCAACTGATTTGACAAAGGCTAAAATTGTTTTAAACACTGTTGTAACAATGTTTTCTGAGTATTGTGAGCAGCCATTCACGTGAGTTATGAATTATATTTTTATATAACTAAGTTAATTATTATAATATAGCTAAGAAAATTTAATATTTAAAGTGCAGAACCTGTTAAGGTCGTATATCCTGATGGTACTGAACATATTTATCCAGATCTTTCACCTCGCACTATGACAGTTAAAGCTGATTATATTAATGCTTGTACGGGGTTAAGCCTTGAAACTTCAGAAATAGCAACACTCTTAAAACGTATGTCACTTTCGGTTAAAGCTATAAACGAAAAGGCTGAAATGTTGGTTGAAGTTCCACCAACTAGATCAGATGTTTTGCATGCATGTGATATAATGGAAGATGCTGCTATTGCATATGGGTTTAATAATATTCCAAAGACTTTACCAGATTGTGCAACAGTAGGTAAACAATTGCCTATCAACAAATTAAGTGACTTGGTAAGAAGAGAAATAGCGTTGGCAGGTTGGACTGAAGTTTTACCGTTGATTTTGGTGAGTAGTTGAAAAAAAGAAAACAGGTTACATATAATTAGAGTAAATTGATAACCATTTTACAAATTTTAAATAGTGTTCACACGACGAAAATTTCGCATACTTGAACAAAAAAGATGACAATCTTACTGCAGTGAAATTATCAAATCCTAAAACGGCGGAATATCAAGTCGTCCGAACTTCACTCTTGCCAGGTGTATTGAAAACTGTTAGAGAAAACAAAAAACACACATTGCCAATTAAAGTTTTTGAAGTATCCGATGTCGTTTTCAAAGATAATTCCTTTGAAAGGCAAGCAAGAAATGAAAGGCATGTATGTGCAATTTATTGTAATAAAGTGTCTGGATTTGAGGTAAGTTGGTTATTCTTTTTAGATCGTGTGGCACATTTATAGTCACATATAATAATAAATTTTGTTTAATAGTTTATTCATGGACTTCTTAATCGCATTATGGATATGCTTGGTGTGAAACTTGTTTCGGCTTCAGATAACAAAAAAGGATATTTTATAAAGGAATCTGATGGTACATTAGTTTTTTACAAAGAATGATCGATTACTGCATCATCTTATAATTATTTTATGATTAATTTATTATATTTATTATATTCCAATTATATTATCAGATACAACATATTTCCCAAACCGAAGTGCAGATATTTTCCTTCGAAAAGGAGAAGCATCAACATCAGATGTTACAAAAAAAATAGGAAGTTTTGGGATTTTGCATCCCCAAGTACTAGAAAATTTTGAATTAACCTATCCTTGTTCCGCTTTAGAATTTAATCTGGAAGAATTCTATGTTTACTAATAAATGTTACTTTATTCATATTTATTATTAATGAATAATTTACAATATTTATTCGCTAATTCTTAGCTATATGCTATGTTATTATAATTCAGTCGTTATGTTAAAAGATTTAAAATTTGCGCCAATTTTGATTTCATTATCGTTACGAGCATGAGTTGCGTGTTGTTCATGTGATCCCATAATTGAGGGCAGTGCAAATTGATTTTTTAAAACTCTTTTAATCAATAACTATAATTGAAATCTTAACCGAAAGCTTTTGTATTATAAATGTTAGCAAATTCTCATTTTAGATCCTATTATCAGATTATTCTAACTAATACGTAATTGAAATGAAATGACATGCGTATGAAAAGCTTGCATTTAATTATCGTAGAGTCGGTTTATTTTTAGGTGATAAACCGGTTAAAAATTAGGATTTTGATTCATAATAAATGTCGCGGCTGATGCTGAAATTTTGACTTATTTTATTATGAAATTTTAAAAAATTTTCGGGCCTTTTCGTTAGGGTTTTTTTTTAGTGTTAGGTTAGGGTTTGAGGGTAGAGTTGTTAGTAAAAAAGTATATGTGAATTTTAGTAGGTATTATGGATTTAAATTGGGACCCTAAATTTCAGCATCAGCCAATTTCAGCATCAGCTGCGACAATAAATAATTACATGTCAAGAAGAAATTAATTTATAATAAATCAAAGAAACTTTATTCGCTTTTAATTGATCTTATAATTAAGTATTAAGATTATAGAGATAAATATCTCGTAATATAAGAATATATGAAATAATTATTACATCATGCTATTGCATTATGTATCGAAAAAATTGATTAATTTTTTGAAACTGTTATATTTGTCGCTAAAAATATTGGTAATATACTGTATATACCTATCTTGAAAATATTGGCAAAAACAGTGATCAAACATGCCTAATACAAAAAAGATAGCAGAGCTTGTAATAAGTATCATTGAAGTAGCCATCTGCCATTTTCGCCTCCCACAATTACCAATATCAAGAACAAGGTTAGTAAACAGATAATTGATTTAATTATATATAAATGGTAAAAATTTTAAAATTTTAAAATTTGGTATAAAGCACTGCACATATTGTACTATATCATGCATTTATGAATTCAATAGCTTTTTTAATACATACTATATATTGTATATATCAAATTATTATTAAACTAGCAAAATTTCAAAATCAGTATATATTAATAAATTAAATATATACAGTATATATATATATATATATATTTAGACCAACTACAATTGTATTACATATCTAATTAATACTGCATATTCTCTAACGCTAAATATAAAAAGGTAATTAAACGGCATCTATATAATGATATATAAAAACTTCTGGAGAAACTATGTTCTTGTCTTCAAACTTTAGGGACATATCTCAATAGTGGTGATGCATGTAATTTGCCGTAAAAGTCCACCTTATAATTTATTTGATTTAGTACATCTATATATAGAGAAGTGAGAATAAAATTGAATCTTTAGATTGTAAATCAAACGCATTTACTGCAAAGCCATTATAATATTACAAGAGAAGGTTAGTATTATGTTTGGAAGCGATCTTCGAGAAGATGTTGTTATCGCTCGTTTGAGATCTACTGGTTCCGGAAGCGGAACCAGTTATTCTTATTATAACCTTGGCATATTACTGGATTGTTTTTGTTTGGCCACTCTAGCTTCCTAAAGCGTCTAGTCGGCTATCGGTTTTTTTTTATATTGGGTGTAACTGACCCTTTGGCAAGTGTTAGGTCTGTTACTGGTTTTGGACAGGAACAAAAAAAAATTTTGCGAGAGAGGCAACATAGTTTTATATTATATACGTACTGTAAGATGTATGATACTATAAATAAAATAGAACTAGAATTGGGAATAAAATTTTGAAGATTTTATCGTTATCGTTATTGAATAAAGGTAATTAATTAACAAAACAAATGTGATTTTAAATATCATAATTATTGCTAGCTGCGAGCTCTTGACACATACAGTATAAGGCCTATAGCTTTTCAGATTTAAAATTTCCAGTTTTCTTTCAGAGTCTATCAAACAGAAAAACGAACTTTCAACATGACGAATTTTGTTTCTGAAACGAAATATGTAGACTTTATTTATTAATCATTTTTTGTTAGGCAACTATCATACTTTAAACTAAGATTTTGTTTCATCCTAATTAGGTTCAATTTCTGGATGCAGAGTAGAAATCAGGGTCAGTTGAACCGGGAACCGGTTATTGTGGAGTAAGATTTAATTCGTTCTTTTTAGTTCAAATCAAAAAAAAAAAATTATTTATAATATTTTAGGACAAAATATTCATGAAGAATTTTCAATAGAATCTGGAGGTAGAGGTTTAGAATCTTTAGTAGGATCTGGAGGTAGAGGTTTAGAATCTTTAGTAGGATCTGAAGGTGGAGGTTTATAATTATAATTCCATCCATTTAATGGAGGAGTTTCTGTTGGAATCTTCATTTGTCCAGGAAACATCATAATTTTATTTCCCATTTGTGCGCTATTAAATAATCTAGGCCCTAATTTTTCAAGTTCAATATTTGCTTCATTTAACATTCGATATTTTGCTGCTAATTCATTTTCTCTTTCCTCTTGTTGATTACGTAAAAATAATTTCCATGCTCGATCGATAGTTTCATGTCTTTCGAGATCTTGTTCTGTCATTTTAGGAAGTTCAGGTTTAGGTGTTTCATAAAGAATTCTTTTAATTATTTGATAACGTGTGTCGGTGATGTTGGCATTTTGTGAACCAAGAATATCTGGTGACGAGGGTTTAGATTTGGATTTTTTAATTGTACGAGCTAGAAGACCACGAATCGCTGTTGTTGAGAGTGCTGAACGATAAGAAAAGTGATTTGTCATTTTTTTTAATGACAAGTTATGATAACGATAATCATTATTAAATAAAGACGTATTAACGGTTAGTCATGTGACTACACTATAACTTGTCTAATGACCTTTGGACCTGGAATTCTTATTGACAGAACTACAGAGTCTTAATATGGATTGTTTGCTTTGTGTACGTACCAGGTACGTACGTACTTGTCGTGGCTCGGCTCGGATTAACAGGCAGCGCATAATGCCTATATACGTTAAGAAATTCATCAGTAATTTTTTGTCTTTTACTTATCTTAGACTTATTCCTTCACGTGAAAAATAGGTGAAACTTTACTGAAAAAAATATTTACTGTTGAATCGTAAAGTAAAATGGAAGGTAATAAAGACGAAGCGCGGGATATAGAGATTATGTATGGTACGATTAAAATCTTGTACTGTAATATATATTTTACATAAAAATTGTGTACTGTACGGCATAATAATGATACATATATATCTATTTTTTTAACCTTGACGTGTGATGCGCAAAACTAGTATATTTTAAAAATAAATTTGACTACTTAAATAATAATCACGAACAGATCAAATGAATTGTAAAACTTGAATTAAATTATACAAATGAAATCGAATTATAAAAAATACAAATATATATTTTCCAAACTCAACATATACGTTATGTGTCAGGGCTTATTATAAAAAGTTCATTATAGAAAGCTTCGGTGTAGATGGATTTATAAATGAACCTTATTCATAACAAAACTAACACATAAAAAGATTGTAGAATTCTAAAATATATTCCCGATTAAATAACGGGAAGAACAAAACTCTCGATACAGTAAAGATTCGATATGAAGATTTAAATTACGGAATTATTAAACTAGATATAATAATGAACTCTGGAAATAATGTAATTTAAATTTTATAATAATTTGGTATAAAGAATTATGGTTCTTAAGAAAAATAATTTTATATAAACAACTTTTTCTTACGTCCAAAACCAGCATTTGTTAGAGAAAGTTGACTGTTTATAGTTTCTTTCGATATAGGCTGTAATAAATATTTTTTTCAATCTGAGGATTTCATATAATGAGAACGAGTTTTCTTTTTACTTGTATTATCAACATAGAGACTAACTTTTATTTTTGTCAAAATATGATAGCAAATAAAAAAGAAGAAAAATCGTACAATTTAGCGACCTGAGATCAGGTGTTAGATGGCTCACGTGACCAGTGTTGGCAAAATTATTGGATTGAATGTCATAAAAGTGACCGGTGTTGGCAAATTATTGGATTGAATGTCATAAAAAGTAATCACTGTACAGACCAGACCATACAGTACTGACCAAACCATCGTACCGTACTGAACATATGAATCATCGTCGTGAACATACTACTGAACAAGCTGAGGCTGTCAAACGAATAAGGGCCTGTAGAACGCATGATTACTATGCTATATTGGGAATAAGCAAAGATGCTACTGATTCAGAGGTTAAAAAGGCATATCGAAAGGTTAGATAAATATATATACAATTATTACAATTATTTAGTTTGTTTGTTTTTATTTTTTTAAGAATTACGCTTGAATTATTTTTTAGGATATTTTCCAATCAATTCAAAAAGTAAATTCATTAATTATGCAATAATTGCTAAAAACTCTTTCATACTTCCGCAACATAGTTAGCTTTACAAATGCATCCTGATAAAAATTCTGCTCCTGGTTCTGATGAGGCATTTAAAAGTTAGTAAATCTATTTTTCTTTAATCCTGAAAAATTACTATTCTTATTACGCGTTAATTTTCTTTAATCGTAATGTGAAATTAACGTCTTTCTTTTTTTACGATAATTAATTTAGTGGTTAGCAAAGCCTTCCAAATACTCAGCGATCCGCAAAAGCGTGTAATATTTGACGAAAATGGTGCTGACCCCGATTCACGAAGTAGTGGAATGCCATCTGGTTTTAGAAGCTTTAATAATGGATTTGGAAATGGTGCTGTCTACGCTGAAGATATTTCTCCGGAAGAGATATTTAATATGTTTTTCGGCGGGGATGGTATGCAATTTTTATATAATAATTTTATAATTTTACCTCATTTATTTTATTTTATTTTTATTTTTATTTTTATTTTATTTTTATTTTTATTTTTATTTTATTTATTTTTTGATTAATATATCTTTATTTCTTCAATAGGCTTTCATTCAGCGACCTTTGTTGGTCCAGGATTCAGTGCACGGAGGTTTCAGCCACGCAGACAATCACCAAATGGAGAAGGAGCTCGAGAACAACGCACCTCCCCATTACTTTCATTTTTTCAACTTTTACCTCTTATCCTCCTCTTCTTATTCTCTTTCTCTTCAAGTTGGTTTTCTCTTGCACCAGAACCATTGCCATCATATTCCTTTTATTCAAATGGTTATCATACAGAAAACAGATTTACTCATTCACTACAAGTTCCTTATTTTGTTGAGCCTCATCAATTTTCATCTATTGAACAAATTCCAAGAAAATTACGTACATTTGAAGATAATATAGAAATTTCATATGTAAAAAAATTACAATATGATTGTAATACAGAGTCAGCGATAAGACAACGCATGATAAATGATGCTAAGGGGTGGGTATTTCCTGATGAAGAGAAATTAAAAGCTGCGCAAGCTGTAAAATTACCAAGTTGTGAGAGACTTGTGGAACTTAGTAGATCGAAAAGGTATAAAGAAATTCAACGATTGGCAAGAAGCTGAATTTATAGAAGGAGGCTGTCCTCGATTGCACAAATTGCAAATAATTTCCGAGGATGTGACGCCAATATCGATAATCAATTTCGATTTTAATCATATAATAAGTTCATACATAGTTCAAATTACAAATTTATTAATTGTAATAAAAGAAAAAAAGAAAAAATATAATTGTGTTTTTTTATGTAAGAGATGGTATTTATTCAAATAAAATAAACTGATAAAAATTTTATAATTTGGACGATTTTTTACCCCTATAACGAAAAATAAATGCATTAAAAACAATGTAGCGCCATTTTCTAGGTTACATCATAATTTCCCGACAGGGTCATCACTCATGGTGATAATTTACTAATAATATACACCTGATACCTACAGCTAATAATATGCTAACCCCTAACCCTATGTGATACCAGGTAAATGGGAAATGACCATCGGGAAAATAAGCAACGTAAAGAATATACCGATACTGTATAAAGTAATTTGATAAATTGCGATATCTCATGTGACAATTTTTTAGAAAAATTGCCCGAATCCAACCACTGGATTATAAATATCCATCACTATAATACAGTAATATGGATGAAATATCTCATTAGTCGGTAAAGGTTATCAAATGAAATGATTTTTATACCATTCGATTCTTTTCAATGAAATGAATCGATGCTACAAGGATCACTCGGATCCAGTCATTGAGTATAAGAAAGTTTCAATTATTCAAACTACCATATCATTTTATACAGACTACGTATAATCATACGTATTATCAATTTTTCATATGACCCAGTGGCTTAGCTTCCAAATATAGGTCATTAACAAAATAATTGCTGTTTTACGTACTGCTTAATTTATATTCATTAATGTTAACTGTTAACTTGTTAATTGATATCTCCGGTATCTTTGAAATTTTATTATGTAATTCAATTTATAACGTTTGGGTATTATTGTGTACAAAAAAACAAGATAAAATAAAATAAAATAAAATAGAGTAAGGTACCGAACCTAGAAATCTGCGAGGTTCCGGTATATTATAGAAATGACAAAATTATGAACAAAAAAAAAAAAAAACTTAAGGATAGACCACGCTTAAACTACTTAGAAAATAAGATAAAGTGACAGAATCTAGTATGAACCGAAAAACTACAATTTAAGGATTTTTTTTTACTTTTATATACCTGAATTGCAAATGTTTAATAATGAAATAAAAAATTTTTTTTTTAAAAATTATGATTATACACTCTCTTCTGGCGTAGTACGCATGATTGTTTCCATTCTTTTAACCCTGATATAATCTGAAACGCTTCGGATAACAATAAACCAACCCAAGAACATAAGGATATAGCTATAAACATATTATATGAGATTAAATAAAGGCAATTCAAAAAAAAAAAAAAAACATTGCTAATCCAACTAACCTTAGCCATGCTCTACGTGCTAATTCTTTGTCACTTAAATCAGACTCATCATAATTATAATACACGCCATCATCATCAAATGACCTACCGCGAAGATAAAAACCATATTGTACTAATGTGATACCCAAACCAGCTCGGGAGCCATTCTAGATAGGGAAAAAACAAAAAAATTAATAAATGGTCAAAATTAACAAAAATTAATTGCTATCAAACAAATTCATTTCGTACCTTGGCAGCATGATTAGTATGTAAAAGATATGTTAATAAGAATCCAACAAATTGGAAACTCATTGATACTATTTTTTTTTATTAAAAAAATAAAATTCATTAGGTAAATTCAAATAATCACAATTGTATTAAATTATTTTGACAACTTACCAAGCATATTCCAAATGAAACTGAAAAAGTTTCCCACGGGTAAACCTTCGACAAGAATTTCATCCCCACATAATCCAGGTGCAATTATAGTCGTTTCCCAATATGGGGGTGTAGCGTCGGCCGCAGCAGTTTCGTATGACTAGACATAGTCAATATTTCGTTAATGACATTCATTAAAATACAATTGTAAAAGGAAAAAAATCCTATCTTACTGGTGGATTTTCATCATCCTTATTAGCTTCCGTGTCAGGCTTAGCCGACAGGTTGGAGAACACTCCGTCAGTGACAATAGGCAAAGATACTGGTGCTGTTTGTTTCTTTATCGAGTTAAATATAGAAAATCTAGTATTACCATTATTCGCAGTTTCGTTATTATCTGTAGAATCAGTATCATCCTTCAAATGTTCAAGCATGGGCTCTGACTCTATTATGTCATTGTTATTATCAGTTTGTGTAGAATAAGCGGGACTTGGAGTGGGTGACGCAGAGGATTCGGCACTTGAAGACGGAACTTGGAGTTCAACGACCTGAACGTCGTCATTTTCAGGTACCTGATTATTAACAACGAAAAATATTTTAGCTAAGATTCTTCACACTTGATCAGCCTCTAACACAAAAATAGGTTGATGCATTCTAACATGGTATACTAAAGGAATCTGCTTACTCGTGAATATCCACTCATTTTATATATTTATATATATATATATATAGTATATATATTGTACAAATTCTAAAGTTAAGAAAATTTACAATGAGCTGCCTTATATTGTATTTCTCGAAAAAAAAATAAAAAAAGAAAAAGAAGGAGAGGAGAAATACGTGACTAATTTACGGCTAAAGCTAAAATAAAATAAATAAAGCAATAACCTATTAAATATATTTTTAGATTATACAAAAGCGAACATTGGGTCGTAAAAGCGTAAACTTTATAACTAGCAGCCGTTAGAAACTTGAAGAAACTACCAAAGCCATACTCAAAATCACGACGGTCTTTAATGTAATAATTGTCCAATCATATATCATTTTTTGAATTGTCGTGGATATGCACTACATATAACAAAGATATGGTGTAACCACATATGGTAACATATATATATAAAGATATCAGATTTATCAATTTATTTAGCAATGAATTTACTTTTTATATATCATTTAATAGAAAAAATTTCATCCAACTACAATAATTTCATTATGTACCATAATTTGTTATAAATTGAAACTACTTTGTTGCTGGACTTTATTTCCCCGGGCTCGGCGGACGTTCACGCTCAAGGGGAACAAACTTCAATGCCTCTCCGTCATATCTATTTAAATAAACGTATATATGTTTATTTATCTATTATTACCTTGGATGTTATTAATATAATAGTAATAATATACCTATAATCGAAAAATAATTCTTGACCAGGTTCGAGGTCGCTCATCGCGTAAATTCCTATACGATGTTCACCATTTACTAGCGTAACTGAACATTCATTATGCAAAAAATTAAACGGTTACTAATGAATCAAACATGCCTATAATTAATTGAAACTTTGAAAAATTACCACGACAGAATGCATTTGGATCATTAGAATGATTAATAAACCTAAATTTATTGCCCTTTCGTGTTGCGTCTACAACAAAATCTTTAAAGTAAAAGATGTCAATATAATTAATGTTTCGGCTCTTATAAATTTTCATATTTAATGCCACTAACCTTTATTCAAATTGAATAAAAAGCTAGTGCCTCTTTTATCGTATATTTTTCCACGTCTATCTGCTTCGGCTTGTGAAATCACCTATAACAGTAATAATTTTAAAGGTTTAACTCACAATATCGAATAATATTGATTAAACCAAATATACTTACCTCCCCAATGTATTCTCCCAAATACTCATTTTTCTTGACTTGTTCTCTTACGAAAAGACCCCAACCAGCCACAGTCGACTTTCCGACAATTGTACGCTAATGTATATTGATAAATAACACAATTGATGCTTGAATCAAACTTCGTAAAGCATAAATCAAGTCGTAATTACCTTTGTCAAAGCTCTTTGTATAGCTACATTCTTACACGATTGTCTACCCATAAATTGTGCAGTCAGCGGTTCTAAGCATTATACAAAGTTCGGAAATAAATATTAATATAATAAGCTTGAGCAAAAAAAAAAAGAAGTTACCTGAGGCTGTACAGCTGCATAAATCAGGATCACATTCACGATAATTGGCAAAACAAACACATGTTCGGTTGCTGCAACATTTCCCAGCACCTGTACAGTTACATCCTGGAAATCGTCGTGGACCTTTACAATAAAATTGGATTTGAAAAACATTTGATAAATAGACAGTTTTCAATATTAAAATATAAAATAGTAATAATAATATGCTTACAATCTAGTTCACAATGACAATACTTTTCACAAGGCACGTTTCCTTGTCTGCAGGGGCATGCTGAATCACAAGGTCTTCCAGGGTGATCACACGGATGATATTCTGAATGGTTTTCTGCATCAATTTCTGAAATTATTAAAAAAAACAAGATTATTTATCTATAATGCTATTCTTTCTTAGGAATTAATTTCATCTAATAGGTCAGAGATTCTTTACCCATTTTTGCCATTTTCTTGCCCTTTTTTCGTGCATCATCAGATGACGAACCGATTTCTATATGCTCATCATCTTTGTCAGTCTCTCCTAATGATTGAAATCTACGAAAAATCTGTCAAAATAGATTCACCTAATTAACAAAATGTCTCCACGAAAATGAATAATAAATAGTTAAAATTTTAAAAACCTGTTCACAAGTCTTAGTCATAACTATCGTTGCTACACTGCAGTAATTCTTAACTCCCATAAGATATCCCGCCTTTTCAAACAGCGCAATTTCAACATCATCCCAGAGATCTGCCATATATGAACCTTGACTGTCCTCTTTCGAATTAAGATAGCAATTCGCTCCGCAAGGTTTGTTTTTACTAATAGGGGGGCGTGGACGTTTTTTGTTTCCAGATGGTCTAAAGTCGGTGCCTAACATATAAATGTACATAAAACTGATCCTGTAAAATCATGTCGTAACACAGACTGAATGATAAAAAGGAATTTCCTATCATTATATTTTTTATATCAATATTGAAATATTGATAAATAGTGATTTAATACAAACCATGAAGTTTACAATCGTACACATAACATCTGCGGCACCAAAGACTTGAATAAGAATGCGTCATCACATCTGGAACTATGCTACTACCTGACCTGATTTGAAGACTTAACAGAAGAGATATTTCAAATTTCTTCTATAAATAAACAATATGTTTATTCATAAAGTCCTTAAGAAATTTTATAATAATGCAAATAATACCTATCCAAGTCCATAGCTCCTGTTTCACTACGTGCATACTCCAAGTACCTACGAGAATAGTTATTAAAACCCTGTTGTAATTATATAATTAATAACTTGTTTGTCTATAATATCTTACCTACTTACCATCTTCTTGATATCTTTTCCTTTCAGGTGTTTGGCAAGCCCTTTAAGAGTAGCCTCAATAAATGATACATCAATGTTCTCATTATTGTTATCGCCAGGTGTATTTGCCGTTACTGGTGTTCGTGTGATCCTTGAGGTCGTTGAAGGTGTGGAAGGTGCTTTGTTCGATTTTGGATCTTCTAATTTAGCTATAGATTTTTCTACGAGCTCTATTGGAATATTATTTTGCTTGAAAATGTAATGCATGGTTTTTATAGCAATTTGTTCTCCTATCATCAATAATTAATATCGAGCGTAAGAATAATCTCTATATAACATGATTTTTTGCAATTAATTCATTTTCATAATCCAACCTTCCGGATCAAACGCATTTTTTCCTACTATGCTTTCTTCATAAACATCAAAATAATCAACGTCATCATCGTCTTCACTGTCTTCTCCAAAATAATAAAGATGTCTCAACACAGGATCATCATCCGTCTATACATTGAATTTGTAATCAAATTTAATAATCATTCATGCTTAATTATTTGTTTTTAAAGTGAAATTATAATTAATTTAAAACTACAAATAATACTTTTGAACTTCTCGTAATCGGAGTCCATAATGCATATTTCGGAACTTCATTCTGAATTGGAATGTTTATAACCAGGCGCTTGTCCGTGCGTTTTTTACGATGAGTAGTTGATAAATAATCCTATAAATATTTATTCAAGCTTATTAGTAACGGCTCATGTGTTTTGACAAATTTTGACAAATTATTTTATAGCTATCTTACTTGAATATTTAGATCAATCTTGGGCGGTGACTTTCCTCTCATTGGAGCTTTTGACTGGCTTGCATTACTGTTGTTGCCTTTTACTTTTGTTACGGGCAAATTGTCAAATTTAGGATATGGATCTCCCCTAAATCTAGAATAAATTTCTCTGACATTTTTATCGCATTGAAGTAACAAAGCTTGCGCTCTTGCATTACTTTCACGCACAAGTGCCTATTAAGATTATTAAATTGGGTATACGGATGATAAGACAAATATTATTAAGAACTTTCCTTTGGATTAATTTAAAAATACGCGAAAATCCAAATACCTTGTTTTCTAACTGTTTTGTATCATAAAATTCTTCGCGCGTTTTATTGTACTCTCTTTCAATTTCTTCCTTCAAAACTGTCAACGGTTTACCGTTGTACTTACTCATATTATTATTACGCGTGAATCTCAAAGATTTCAACTAACGTTAGTTAATGTACACAAACTTATCAGTTATGTTGTTTTCGCAAATACAGATTTTGGGTGACATAGAAAGAAATCTCTCTGATTGGCTGGTGCAAATCAATTTTATTAATTGGATATTAACTTTTATTGGGTAAGTGTAATTGGTCGGATCTTTTAACTAAATTAGTACGTATTAGTGCCCGGTTTTTGTAACGTAACGAAAACTGTACAATTAACTTGCTTTTTTAAAAAGCTAAGGGTATTATGACGCATGTGGGTGATTTGACAATTTGATATACTGCGATGCACTGATCAGAATCGAAAAATTTTAGTACCATTCGATTAGATGAATCAAATAATACAGTCGACTCTAGATATACCGAGCCTGCCTATACCGAAATTGTGATATCTGATAACCAGATCGGGCAGAACAGATTTTTTAGACTCAAATAGTAAATTTTTATATACCGCATCCGAACACCTTTTCATCAGCCCAGGACTATATTCATATGTATATATAATTTGATATAACGAACTATCATATGACTTTGCAAATGTAATATTCGTTAAAAAAATTCCGAGAATTTCCGAAACAAACCCATTTATGCGTAAATTTTATTGGATAGCTCTATATACCGCATAAAAATTTTAATGCTTATCGATATATGTGATAATGAATTGCATAGTAACACTTATTAAGCTGATAAAAAACTCATTTTTGTTGGATTAATTAATAAATTAAAAATCGAATAAATCAGGATTGTTTCAGGATTGGATTTTTTTTCTCATGTATCTATCTGCTCACAAAACAACTAAAAAACTTGGAATTTCGTCTGATACTTTGAGACGTTGGTTAAAACAAGGAAAGATATCTGCGAAGACGTCTCCATCTGGGACTCGTCTCTATGATATTTCTTCTTTTTTTCCAGAATTGATTACTCAAAATGATACCTCAACCACCTCCATTACTGAAAAGAAAGGTTTCCTATACGCACGTGTCTCAAGTAACAAACAAAAAGAAGACCTTGAAAGACAGAAACAGATTCTTAAATCCAGATTCCCGAATTATAAGCTCGTCAATGATATCGAGTCAGGTATTAACTTCAAAAGAAATGGACTTAAAACCTTACTGGAATGATCAAGTAAAGGAATGGTCTCAGAAATTGTAGTTACCCACTGTGACCGACTCTGCAGATTTGCATTTGACCTCATTGAATATATGTTCTCGGTACACTCGTGGTTCTCTTCAACGAATCAAGTTCCAATGAGCATGAATTATCACAAGATATCAACACCGTCTTTATCTGTCGAATACAGAGAAGAAGAGCAGCTAAATACCGAAACTACTGTAAATCGAATGTTATCAATCAAAATATATCCGAATCATTCTCAGAAAAAGACATTGAAAAGATGGCTAGGTTTGATGAGATACGCTTATAATACTGTTGTTAGATAGAACAAAAATCGTCATTTTTGTAATAGTTCTAAAAATTTTGAATGGATAAAACCTCATACACTCAATGAAAAACTTAAATTATACATAGATGTAAAAGAAGGAAAAGATTTTAATAAAAAAGATAAAAAATTACAGAGATCATGTGTATGGGGAGAACGCAAATTTCTTCAAACAGTTGTATAGTTAGAATTACGTGTTAAAGGTTTATATGATAAAGTACCTGCAAATATAATTGATGAAAGTATTAATGAAGCTTTGATAGCTAAAAAAAATATAATACAAAAAAATTTAAAAGAAACTAAAAAATCATTATTATCATTTAAATCTAAGAAAGATTTACGACAGAAATGACTGTTCGTGCGCAAAACTTTTCAAAGAAAGATTGGAATTACATATCTTCATAATTCTTTGACTTTATCATCAAAACGATGCAAACCCAATGAATTACAGGACAGAAAACGTGACTTACGTCCATTTCATTTTGAAAAAAGGAGAAAGCATAATAAATGGCCATCACAAAGATAGATTGTGATTGTAAACTTATGTATATACGTAAAACAAACGAATGGATATTTTATTGGGTATACAAAGCACAGAAACAGATCCATGAAACACAAGTGGATGTTCATGTAGTTTCAATTGATCTGGGAGTTCGTACTCCATTCACATGGTATTCTTCAACAAAAGGTGTGGGAAAGATAGGAGAACACGATATAGGACGTATTTTTCGTTTATGTAAACACATGGACGATCTAATATCAAAAAAAGACAGATTAGCATCTTCAATCTCGAAATGAAAGAAGAAGAAAGCATTGTGTGTTGACAAAGCCATCTTTCGTATGCAACGAAAGATCAGACGGCTGCAAGATGAAATCCATTGAAAAACAATCAAGTTCTTAACAGATGAATTTGACATAATTGTTATTCCTCCTTTTAAGGTTTCAGACATGGTGAACAGGAAAACACGAAAGATAACAAGGAAAACAGTTAGAAAGATGCTTTACTGGTCTCATTACAAGTTTCGACAACGATTGATTTCAAAAGCGGAAGAGAAAGGAATTCATGTGATAATTCAAAATGAGGCTTACACGTCAAAGACATGTAGTTGGTGCGGAAACATTCAGAATATTGGAAGATCAGAAACATACAAATGCAAAAATTGCAATATAAAAATAGATATAGATGTTAATGGCGCCCGAGGGATATTTCTTCGGGCTTTGCTTGATGGAGCCATGACCTTGTCATAAGACATCTTCATGCAGGAAATAGTAACTTTACTTAGTAATACTTAGTATTGATTATTATTGATGTGTTACAATCCATCTGTTGCAAAATGAGCTGAATTGAACTGTCTGTAAATCAATTGTATTTAAAATAAACCTGTCCAGTTTATTTACATAGTTATGGTAAAAAATGAATTTTGCCTTAGCTTTTTGTGGAAATAACTTATTCGCACAGATATGAAAAACATGTGATTTTCAAGCTTTCAAAAAAAGCATGGGTTGTTACATAAGACCCGTACGATAATTCACAGTTCGAATCTCTAGTAATAAGGTATCTAAAAAGCTCCCTTTAATTTAATGTTAATTACAATACCACAGTAATTCTTGTATTCGGAAAATTTACTTTTTTATTTCATGCGCATCTCGAAATAATGTCAGCTAAATGAATTAATGGGTTGAGTGCATTATTAAAATTATTGCTTTTGTATGTGTCCTATTTTAGACTTTTGACTTTTTTATATTACATCATAAAAAATACTAAATCTTTGAAATATACATATCTTAAAATTTTATTTTAGCATTTTAAAAAATAAAGCAGTAAATTACTTGGTTTCAAATATCTTTCTTTTAGATTAGAAGTTATTCATTTTAAAGTTTGCGTGGTCTTTAAGTGTGTGCACCGAAGTTAATTTCGATAGCATAATGATCCGAGACACGCATTGCAAGTTTTGTGATCAAGGCTAGATTGTATTTATTTTTCAAATTAATATACCCTGATATTACCAATCTATCTGTCTTTATTCTTAACCTCGAATATGAATCTATCATAAGCTACACAATTAGAGGCAACACTAGTATAACTTGAATGACTAATACCCTATATTAAGTTATTTTGAGTCAATATTTTATCAAGTTCTGCTTGCTGTGTTTTATTAAGATATGAACCAGAAGCATTGTAATCACCCATGTTCGCAATTTTTTCCAAAAATTGATGCTTTTGTATTCAAACATAATATACTTAATAAACTAGAAATACTACTCCTTTTTACCGATTTCTCTTTGACATAAGCATATACATCAGTTAAACCTATGAGTTTAGATGATTCAGAGGATGAGAAATTTAAATTTAGAATAAATTACGTGATTAAGAAATACGAAAAAAGCGAACATCAAGTAGCTTTTTCCACTTATAATGATTTAAAGAATGAACCTAATTTGGACTCTTAAACTAGCCGCCTAGCTAAATATTATTTAGCTCTTTGTTATTATATGGACATGGTGTAAACCAAAATAAAGCTTATCGTTATGCTTTAAGAACTGCAAATGATTTTCGCAATAATAATAAATATGAATATTTATTGAGAATTAACTAAAGATGATGAGATGAAATTGGAAACATTAATTAAGATAGCAGAGTGCTACATGTATAAATGACTTATTCTCAAAGACCTTGCTTTACTTTGGTATTAGAACTTTATAGTAAAAAAATATTAAGAATCATTTGATATTTTTTCAAAACTAAGTTTAAGCAAAAAATGACGAAATTAAATTTATTGCCACATGTTTTAAAGCATCTTACCATATTTCTGAATATAATAATATCAAAAGAGATAAAAAAAAAAAGCTCTTAATGTTACTATTAGTTCAATAAGATAATTTTATATTGAATCAAATAATTTAGTATAAAACAAAACCTTTATTTTCGTGAAAGCATAAAATAAATTGCATCTATGATAACCATTTTTAAATACTAGTTTACGAAATAATTATTTTATTATGAAAAAAAGTAGTTATTTACATCGCTTGTGAAACTTATGTTGAAAATTTTCTAATTTTTTTTTTTGGCTTTAAAACTAGAATTAAAGACAAGAAGTACTATAACAAACTTAATCAACAGAGATAAAAATTTGAAATCTTGTCAAATTTAATAAGTATTTAAAATGGCACAGGTTCAGGTATTTATATGTAATATTATCAAATTGGGAATTAATTATTGAATTGTAATAATAATCCTTCATTATATTAATGATTAATTTTTTAAATTCTGTATAACAGCAATCATCAAGTAGACTATCTAGAAAAATTGTAATAAGCTCACAATGAATTACTAAATATCTAAGTGAAGGTGGAAGAAATTCTTTTGATAGAATCGAAGATTCAGAAATAATCGATTTGCTATATAGAAAATTAATGGTTAAGTATGTTATGTGTAATTTTTGAATTGACGTTTTAAATATTTGATCATGAGGAACTGGTCGATAGTTATTGAGAGTAAGATGAGTAATATTAGGACAGTTTTCTATTATATAAAGCATCACTTTCTGTGTTAACATATCTAATGTTAATTCCATCAAGTTTGGTACTTTAATATTCATCAAGGGTCTTCTAATATATAACTTTTTCAAAGTTTTAAATTCGAAATTATTGCGTAATTTTACAAGTCCTGAATAGTTTAAAATCACAAAATTTTCCAAAATTTTGCATTTAGCAAGTGAATTTAATGAAGATTCTGAGATGTTAACACACTCGAGTTTGATAGATATTAATGAATTAGCTTGAGACAAAAATACTGCTTTGATTATTTCTTCAATCCAGCTATCTACACCCCTGAAGCTAAATTCTTTTAATTGCTTCTGCGCATTTATAATCGATATAATAGAATTTTTAATTTCAGGATTATTCTCAAATGCAGGGACTTTAACGATTAGACTATCTATTTTATTACATGTTGTTGATATTTTTTCTAAGAAATTTATAGAATTTATCGACATATGTTGAGCTGCGTATCCAAGTTCAAGTTTTGAAATATTTAAAAATTGTCCAATTGTTTGTTGAAGGTTAGGAACATGATTTAAAATCTTGTCACTATCAATTCTTAAAAATTTTAAATTTGTACTTTTAATAAATAACTTGAATAAAAACAATATAATTTGTTCCTTTATCTGCATGATTTGTTTTCTTGACTCCTCAAAATTTTCATCAGGCCAAATTACTGCAATCCAGGAATATACAATTATATCTAAGCTCTTTAGTGAAAATTCTTCCAGCATCATTGAATAATTAAATAAAGGCCTATTTGATATTAATTTCATAATAGATTTATGGCTATATGAATTTGTAATTATTAACTTATTAAAATGACTTTTTTCATGTTCTTCAAGCAATGACATCTTCAAGCAATGACATGTAAACTGATGTAATCTTGTATATGTTATCAAAGTTTAAGTTCTCAAAAGGGCAAGCCCACAATAATGGCACTGCATTATTACACCAGTGGTGGTTTACTAATAAAGAAGGATAGAGTGATTCATTGTTTTTCTTTACATATTGAAATATCTCTTTCATACATTCAGTAGGAAGCATAGTGTTAATGAAGAGACATTAATCGATGTGATATATAAGTTAATAGCGATATTTAAATATTTACTACGCAATTAGATTTGATATTTTTTTGATTGAAAATCTTTAATTCATAACTATATATGTCATTGAATTAAATGATTTTAAAACTTAACATTAATACAATACATCTATACTTGCCGCTCAAATCCCAAACTATTATAGATTAGGTTTGCCCATCCCAAATTCAAGCCCAAACTAATATCTCAAAAACTTTATTCATAATCTTTATTTAAACAAATAATATACTGTATTTACAAAATATTAAAATTATTTTGTTGGCTGAATTTTTTATAAAAGCAATTTGTTTTTTGGGGGTTTGTGATTGATCCATGATCTTGTCATAAGTATCATTGATTATTATTGATGTATCCGGATGAACGACGTACGAAATGGGTAAAGTATTTCGTTCAAGTAGAAACAATACGCAAATTGACTATAGAGTCTCAATTTAGAAATTTCAAGCTTGTAAATTTCTGGTTTTTCCTTTTGGTGTCCAGAAATCTGCATCGCATAAATCTGCTCGCCCTAAAAATAGGGTTGTTTTGTCTCTGTAAGATAAACGTGACTCTAATCACAAATACAATACAAAAAAATATTCTATGCACCGCAGAATTCTGGATACTCGAAGCATTATTTTACTTGTAATTACCGTATTTTACGGGCTAAACCACCCTCCCTGTACAATTTTACAGTTTTATACGTGGCTTTTGAATACAAATTTTGCTCTTATATCGTAGTACTGTACTACTTATGCTAATACCATTTTGATAACAATAAATAACTTATAATATTAAAAATATCTAGATAAAAGCTGGTAAGTATTTTACAGGAAAGGTGGTTTAGCCCATAAAATACGGTAATAACTTTGTTGGATAATTACAATAAAAACTTTTGTGAATGCTGAATAGCACTTCAAATAAAAAAATTGGATCAATTCAAAGCCCTACGAAGAAGAGATCAGTTGTTCGTGTTCAAAATAACATTTTTCCCCTAATAATAAAACTACTTTCGCTAAATAATAATACCTACAATTATCCATTATCCACTCGCCAAATATAACACGCCTCTTATCGACTAAGCCGACTCGTAGGTTACACGACGTATCCAATTAAGAAGCGACTGACTCGCCGTTTCGACCGTGTCACCATTCATGGGGACCTATCTTTTATATTTAGAAGACAGACATTTATGTACGTACTAATAAAGTTTGATTTATGTAAGTACCAATGCATAAGCCGTACTACGACGAATGCATAATGCATATTTGCATAAAGCAAAAAAAATCTTTACCTACTTTCTACTTTCTATTAAGCGTTTCATCATGAAAACATCTTGTAACCTTATCATATCGTGCCTATTCTTTATATTTCTTAGCTTTCTCATTATATCAATATCAACGGAATCGAACCTGCACATTACCTATACAGAGAGTACACAAAATACTACGTTCCCCCAATCACAACCTTATGCAAATGCTATTCAATTTTATGATGACGGAACAATCCTAATCCACCTTGTCAGAGATGATCCAAACACAAACAATACTAGCCATTGTTTAGAACCCATATTACGTATAAGAATTATCCATTTAAATAGAACCGTCACTGAAATTAATAAATATTTAAATATTGATCCTGTTGTGAATTATTGTTTATTTAACGATACATCTACTGGAAAAATGATAAATCCTATTTCAATACGTCCCTTAAAAGAACCATTTATATTAGTGAGTTATGTGAATACCACAAATTCTTTAAATTATGAAGATTGGGTAACAGTTATTAATTGGAACGGCGAAAAATTAAGGTCCGATGATAATTATTTATATTGCATATTATTATTAATAATGAACTAAGATTGTTTTTTATTATTTTACAAATTATTAGTTCAAGATCTTTAGGACGATCTTATTACGACGCTAACAAAAACTTGGTCTCCGAAAAGTTTAATTGAGATAAACATAAACAAGGAACTGGGGTTTCTTAGATCAGTCCCAAATATAGAAAAGTACGACGAATTCATCAACTGCACGCAATATTCAGTGTAATTAATTTAATCTCTTTAATAATAATTGTCACGGCTGATGATGAAATTTGGACCTATTTTGATATGAAATTTTAAAAAATTTTTGGGGAGCCTTTTTTTTTTTTAATAGATAGGTTAGAATCTATAATTAAAGATACATGTGGATTTTAGGAGGGCTTATATTTTAAAATCGAGACTCCAAATTTCAGCATCAGCTGCGACAATAATTATCTTATTTGTGATTTTTTTATATTTACGATAACAACCAATAATCAATCAATCATTATAATTAATTATAGTGATGCTAATGGAGATTTATTAAGATTGAACGATAACAATTATAATACTATTGTTTCTATCGCAGCCAAAACAAATTTCGTCAATCTTACCCTTTTTACGTCATTAGCCACCGTTGATAATGGTTATGCAATATTGTATGCCAGGTACTCAAGCAATCTAACAGATTTTATGAAACCAGTTGGCGGGCTATTTGCCACCTTTATAGCTTACAACAATTCCAAGGTCATTACTTTTCTTCTCTTTCCAATAACTAATATTGAAGTGAAAATCAATGCAGTTCATTGTGATGCATATTTTGGATTCTGTTACCATTGTATTGTTTCCATCATCTACAACAACACAATGAACTATGAACTTATTTTATTTTGTTCGGAAAAACTTGTAAATTCCGGTCAATTATACCAAACCCCCAAAAAACTGATGTACACTGGAGCGTGTTGTCTTCAACACCTGCCGGTTACATATTTACTGCTGTAGATAATGCCAGTTGTTTTATTCAAATCTATATTTATTCAGTTGATCCGCAAGTTGATTTGACGTATTCTAATACAACTGGTATTAGTGCATATGGTATAAAAAATAATAATTTTTTATTCTCTCTACGAGATACAAATATTAATAATACTTCTTGGTCTTTGCTTACTGTTCCGTTACCTAAAATTGGTATGCTTGAATTAATTAATTATGTAATTCGATTTCACTACTTCAGCTGAAATATGTTATTTTTCATTCGCATGAATATAGATGGTGAGTATAAAGATGATTTATTAATCGGTGGAATTAAAATCTTGATCACAAATA